GGGGGGGGGTTAAATGGGCTTTTTAGGCCCATTTAGCCAGGAGAGACATAATGCCGGCACCGAGGAGGAGGGAGATATGGGCCATGATTTGAAGCCCAGAATTGGATTGCACCTTCGGGTGCATGAAATCTGCTGCGAGAAGGTCCACCAGAGACATGTAGATGAGAATGCCCGAGGACGCGGCGTTCAGGACACCTTGGACGATCAGAGCCGTTGGACTCGATTCATCGTACGAACTCGAGATCCCCATCCCGACGGCTATCCCTATTGGCGTCGTCACCGAGAAAATCATCGCCATTGTCATAGCAGCCATCCATTTGAATTTCCCCTGCAATTTTTTTTAAAGTGTACATCGAAATTATAAGATTTTCATATTTTGCAATTTGTAATGTCAAAGTCAACGTTTTATTTTTTTGCAAGTCCACTACAAATCCAAAAAGAAACCATTAAATTTTTTTTTTGGTATATATATATATATATATATATTATATTTGGAATAATAAAAAATGTTTTTTTGGTAAGGAGAGAAACTATAAAAAATGTTGAAGTACCTGAGTGATGCAACCGCCGAGGCCAAGACCTTCAAAGCATTGATGAAACATTAAGGCAGCGAACAAAGTCTTGGCCGTGTCGGGGTCCTGAGATGCTCCCAGTGATATTCCTATCACTACTGAGTGTACAATTATTCCCAGCTCCAGCACCTATACATACATATATATATGTAGCCAAATTATATGTTTTGAACTTTTGATTTACCTATATTAATTATGCACCGTTTCTCTATCATACATAGCGATTAATTAAATCCAATGGGTTTACGGAAATAGCGATAAGTCATGTAAAACAAAAAGGAAAATATAATAAATGAGATTGCTATATATACTTGTATAGGACCGTAGATAGGACATGATCACTAATAGCTCATGCATGATAATTTACAGGGGTCATGATAAGAATATTTACATATGGTATATGTATATGGCATATATATGCATATTATCTATGAATGTACGTGTAACACATATATTGTTTTACAATATATATTCTACGATATGGTAATTTATATGCGTGGTACTTTTACAATAGATTATATCCATATACACACACGTGCGAGATCCAAGGTCTAATGCTTTAATTTCATATATTCACCTCTCATAAACTATAGATTTTAAATTTTAAATTCACACGATATGTGCAGCGAGAAGATCGCAACGGACCTGTGCAATGACTCGACTCCGGAGGAGCTGGGTCTTTGACTCGACGGCAGACCCGACGCCGGATTCCGCCGCCGTGTGGCCGTCCTGGGAATGGGCGCGAGCGTGGACGTGAAGCCCGAGCTCTCCCCCGCCTTCCTTGCCTTCTCCTTCGCTACTGATCCTCTGATTCTTGAAATGGGATTTCTGAATATACGACGTGGCGAAGGCGTCGACGGAGAGGGTAAAGATTGCGGCCATCATGGCGATGAATCCGGTGAACGGAAACTCCCACGGATGCTCGCTCAGGCAAGGTGACGTCAGCATCTCGAAGGCCTCCGGCAGGACGTGGAGGAATCCTGTGGAGAGAATGACTCCGGCGGCGAAGGCTCTTGTGACGAAGAAGAATGGTGTCTCCGGACGCAGGGACGGGAAGACGTTTCCGAGCAGAGGGAAAAGAACTCCGATGATTCCGGCGACGAGGACGGAGGGTATGGCGGCGATCTTGTACTTCCGGGCACCGGATTTGTTCTCTCCGTCGCGGTCGTGAGAGCATTCGCACCGATCTTCGCCGCCTCCATGGCCGGCGACGGCGATGAAGATGAGAGAGAGGGAGAGAACGAAGAAGAGTATCTTGATCTTTTGCATGGTTCTTGTGGTTTAGACTTAGGGTTTATGTTATGGAGGGAAAAAAAAGGAGCCGATAATAAATTATATTTATGATTAAAATAAAGTGAATTGCAGTGGTCAAAGTATCTGACTCTACGATATATATATATATACATATATATATATATACATATATATATATATATATATATATATATAAATCACAATAAAAATAGATACGTGACAAGAAAATAAAAGCTGTGATTTGATTTATATTTGTAACATACAATTATAAAAAAAAACCCATAAATACCATATTTATAAAATATAATAATCTTATACTTATCATACCCTGATTTCTATCATAATATGGAAAAATATATTGATGATATTAATTATTATTATTATTGAATTGGAAATAAATAAACTATAATTTATAGATATTTTTATAAAAAATTTATGTTTTGATTTATATTTATTAATCAATGTGTTGTAGTAATTAAGTAGTTTTCGATTTTTTTTTATAACGAAAGGTTTATTAGGATTTATATGTAAGTATATTTTAAATGGGTAATTTTGATAAGATAATTTTTTTTAGCTTCCTTTAAAAGGAATGGGGCGAGAATGTCGACATAAAGTGTAAACTCTACATCGTCGATATTATTATATCATTTCTATAATTTTTTCTCTCTATAATTATTTGTTTTAATTCATCGAATGTTCTATTTGCCATAATATGACATGAAAGGCATCGGATTATATATCAATGTCGAGTTTGAATAGTTTACAATATATCTAAGATGATTTGTCACTCCTATTCCCATTCCCATTCTCATGTCTAGTTAAGGAGCTTCATTTTATCGTACACAATTTTTTTTTTTTTATAATCCAGAAGTTCACCGGACCTTTGGCCCAACTACATCTCCCAGAGGACCGGGACAGCCCATGTGAAAGCTCCTTCCCAACCAGTAATCGAACCACCAACCTCTGAAAAAATAATACCTTTGGAGATGGTTCATATAAAAGAAGTCGCTTAGCTTTCATTTATATTCTTAAAATGATTCTTAGGAATTCATAACAACGTTAAAAAGGAGAGCCTTACCTTTCGAAACCAAAAAGAAGAGATTCGTAACCATCCGATACGAATTTAAATAATTGAGGAAGCTGGACTCTCTCACCATTGGTAAATTATGTATCACACCTTTCTTAAAGCACAGAATTTCATATAGACGTGTATGTGTAGAGCCAAACGTATACACACACAGTAAATAAATGAATGAATTTCAATTCTGGTAATTAAGATATTTTTAACCATAAGATCGCAACCACAGACTAACCTAACCTAATCCACCTTAAACGACACGTGCTCATAACCTCTACGACAAGTATAATTGAAAACACACACAAGCACGCATCATCACTTTCCCGTTCCCTTTAGATATCTTAGTATAAACAAAGTGACTAACCTCCCTTTAAGTTGTGTGATGGCCGGAATTTTCCTTTCTCTACTTATTTTCTTCGCCACCCTTCTCTTCCCTCTCCTCCTCATCATAGTATTCTTCTTCTTCTTCTTCTTCTTCTTCGTCGGAATCAATGTCATGGTCGAAGTACTCTTCGTAGCACTCTTCGTCAGTTTTGCCATTCTCAAGCAAGTCTTTTGATTGTTGCCTCCTCAGCCTCTCTTGGATGTGGTCTCTGATGGCCGTTCCCTATTACAGTATCGGAACCTTTCACGTTATCAAACTTAAACGAAGCTAGCCAACTTTATATATATGTATGCTGAATCATTGTTTTTACCATCTTGTGACAACCCTCTTCAAACATTTCAAGAAACCCAGCTACCCATCGATCTGCGTTCTCCACCCACTCGTTTCTCAGCATTTTAACAGTTTGTATCTGGATTCACAGTGAAAATACACATTAGACCTGGAAACTAAAACAATTAAAGACAAGACGGTATCTAAACATGAGGAAATGTTATACATCCTAGACCAACAGATTATAAATTTTGCTGGCCAATGAACCTGAATGCGATTTTCAACTGTAGATTTACATGTATGTGGGGTTTGTGCTTGTACACTAGCTCGAGATGTTCCGATGCCATTAAAAAATTGCAGCAGGCTTTATATTTAATACCTCTAAATTTAAAAGAATCAGTTAAACACACAGTTAAGGTGACCAAAGGCAAACCTTTTCTCCTACTTTTTCTTGATGTTCTTTGACCTTCTCTTGAAGCCTCTTCAGCCTCATATTGACCCTCAGCCTCTTTTCCTGTTGCAACCCAACAAATCAATAATTAATTTCTCCCAGTGAAAGAATACGGACAACAGAGTTAACAAGTCAAGAAATGGTGACCCTGCCTTCACATAGCTAACCCCAAGATCTTCCCTCGAATACCCCCGATCAAGATTCCGCATGACATACTGGTTGTAGTCTTTCACTATTCTCATTATTATATCTGAAGTAGATATCCCTTCAGTTCGCTTTGTTTCCTTAAACTTCCCAACTTTCTTAACCTGCAACAGATGCTCATTTGAAACAGACACAACATTAAGTAGAATGGCCAGAAACCCAGACTGTGAGCATTCAGCTGAGACTCACGAATTCATAGACATCCTTGCCAGCTCCACTGACATCAGCATACCTGAGAATGATATATATTCAAAAGGTTACTGGAATCTAGAATGGCCACAATAGAAAGTGCATAAGCAACAAGATCGAAGTAAAAGGCGAAAAAGACGACGCTCCCTCAAACAAATCGTTCCTACATATCTATTTAAAGTCAATTCGCTTCAACCATTTCAAGAATAAAAGCTAAATAAACGTTTCTTACTACACACAAAAAAGAGTTATTACGGAAGAGAATCATGGGCCACGTAGTCGATCTGATGCTTGTCAAGAAACTCTTGATTAATTACCCAAGGCGCATCAGGGATAACTTCGTCCACCCACCTGCATGATACAGAAGATAGAACCAACGATCGAATCCATTGCCATGACTGATAGATACTACGGCATTAATAGGTGATCACCCTTTGAAAGAGAGAGTTACTTGCAATGCCGAAGAGATTCATATCGTTCCTTTTCGTTCATTACAGTCTTGCCCTTGTACTTGTGGGTGGTCTCATCATTGCAACATCCAACAAGAAGGTAAGTATTTGGAAACCTGCTCGAACAACAAGAAATGACAATAACAAGACCGGGCGACGTGAGAAGTGTTCTATTACCTCATCATAAAAAACAATCAAAATCGATGAACAACAGACATTTATTATTGCATAATTCCCCCAGCGATGAATTTACATAAAAAAGAGGGTGGCAAAATCATGGCATAGTGAATCATGCGCCACCAAGTTTGAACGAAGTCACTGTCGACGAAGTTCAATCATCACCAAAATTATCTAATCGGTTGAAGTTTCAAAATTGGACGAGGAACACAACTCAACAAATAAAGAACAGGGACTGACATGAACAAATCGAACACCAGAGACGGAAATTGGGGAAATTTTTCTACAAGGAGAAACAGAGAGAGAGAGAGAGATATTGACGATTTCTTGGCTTGTTCGATAGATCGAGCGTGACCGAAGTGGAAAAGATCATAGATCCCATCGGCGTAGACGCGGACGGGGCGATCAGACGGAGGCGGAGCGGTATTACCGGCGGAGGAACCGCCGTTTTCGCTGGAATCCCCAGCGACGTTGCTCATATTCTTCAATGGAATCGCCGAACAGAAAACCACGGGATTTCTCTTCCGCTCCTCCGTTGCGTGTTCAGTCCCCTCCTCCTTCTTGTAAATGGGCTTTAAGGCCCATATTTGTAGCCCAATATGTGAATTTAATTCACGTCCGGTTAAATTGAAAAAAATTCCGGTTTGATTTAGATATCACATCCCCGGTTTACCGGACCCGCGCAAATTATATGAAGCTGGCTCTACAAGTTCCTTGCCCTGCAGTTTGACCGTTACAGAGAGAGAAACCATCGGAGAGAGAGAGCAAGAACGTGAACCGAGAAATGGCTGAAACCCTAATCGAAAACCACCAAGAAGCGGACTACTCGTACGAGCTCGAGGAAGAAGAGGACATCGATCTCTCACTCCTCCGTCTCAACAGTTTCGGCAGCTCCTCCTCCGATCGCCGTCGATCTAACTCTTCTCCTCCGAAGTTCCACTCGAGCGGCGGATCTCTCAGCTCCTCCCCCTATGCCGCCGTATCCGTCGGAAGTCCCGGTAAACGCCCCTCTCCAGAGTCCAAAGATTCCGACGGGCCTCTCCGCAAGAAACATTTTCTCCGGCCGGCGGAAGACGATGCGAACCCTAATCTCCAGGGTTATACGAAGATTTCGCTTCCTATTGATCTCAGCCCGAACCGGACCCGTTCACCTCTTCTCTTCAGGCGATCCCTTTCGGATTCGTTTGCTTCGTCCGGTCATGCTAGACCAGTCGCCCAAGAAGCGTCACCTTCGGGTAATGTCGCTCCTCCACTCCCTCCACGGCCACCGTTGTTCCGGAGGTCCGTCTCGGATATCACTCCGGCGCCGGCGAAGACTTTTCGGGGGTCTTCCAGCTCCGTTGCTATCCCAGAAGCTGATCTTGGGAAGATGGGAACCTCCGAAGCTGATAAGGTAGCAAAATTTCGTCACCCTTTTCCTTCAATGTTCTTGTTCTGTTTGACGCCCCTTAGTTCTTAATATCTGGTGTTCGGTTTGATTCATCTTGTTGTCTTTCTGTGATTTTACTGTTCGTGGTTAAAAGCATCGATCTACGAATTCGTTCATGCTAAATTGCGTATCTTTGATAACACGGAATGTTACGTGTGAGCTGATTCGTGGGATCAATGAAATGCCAGATGTTGTTGGTTATAAAGGATGGAGCGCAGGAGTTGGATCAATGGTGTAACAAGCTCCTTCGGTACAGGCAAGCAGCTTCTTCCTCCGAGAAGCAAAACGATGATCCCAAGGTTTGGTTCTTTATAGACATTTCCATCAATCTCCTCTTGGAAGAATCTGAATGTCAAGTCTTATCTCTTCATTGTGGCTTTAGAACGACGATCCCTAAACCCATCGTTCTTAATACCAAATTACATTCTTTAGGTAGTTATTCTACATCAAGGTTTGGGGCCACTGATGCATCTATGAGATTTGAGATCGGCCATCTTCTGTTGTTTTCGGGATGACGAAGAAAAGGCTTGTGTTTCAGGGGGCAGATGAAACGGAAGAACTGAGGTGTGAAGAGTTCAAGGAAGGAGTGAAGGTAGACAGGGTCGGGGAGGCTTTTGTGGTTGAAATCAACTGCCCTTGCAGCAAATCCTACCGCGTTCTGTTCTCCGGCCGCGACTGCTACTACAAGCTCCTCTAGATACACACGTTGTTCCTCCGTCATCATCGGAATATGCTCTCTCCCAGATAAGACGGGCTGTTTGATCGTTTCGCGATTTGTTGGTTTGTCCTCATATGGGTCACTACAAAGCATCTTCATACGATGTCACATTAGAACAATGATGTGGAGCAAACTCTGTTACATCAAGTATGATCGATCCTCTACCCATTTTTGGATACATGTTTCTGTTTCTGTTTTGTTGGTCATTGGTTTCTTTCTGGAACTGAAAACCAAAATACGAAAGTGAAAAGAAAAGTAAGAAACTTTCTCGGCAAAACAGACAAAACCCCTGTCCGCCTTACCTGTTCTTCAATGGATTACACCATTTTTCGCGGTCTGTCTTTGGGCTTTTGGTTTTATGCCCAAACCTAACACCGTTTTCTGGGGCTTATACGATGTATACATTTTTTTATTTTTGGGTGTTTCCAATGTCAATCGAGTTCCCATTGTCTGATAGTGCGAGACTAATTGAATCGCAGTCAAAATCTATGTTTGTCCCATTGACTTGGATGAAATAAATAAATCAGGGAATTCCACTGAACCCAAATATATATATATATACATACTCGTAAGAAACACGACTTATACATGAAATAAATCGACAAGGAAATTATAACAAGAAAAAAAAAACAATGGTGCGTGAAGAAGGGAGAACAAATCACTGCATAATTCCCAATTCATGTTGGCTCCTCAGAAACAGGCATCGAGTACACAGCAGCAACACAGAGCCGCGCAACTGCGTTCAAATTAAAAAAAAAAAAAATCAAAATCTGAACGAGCCGTTATGATGGGCATATTATTAGCCCCACACCCAAAATCAGCAATGAACCGGTTCGATATCATACCAAACCCAATTGACCGGTTTGAACTGGTTACCGAATCAGATCTTGAGGAAAAGAAAAAAAAACTTACCAGCCTTTCCAGAAGCCATCACCCTTGGACTTGGTCTCGACTTTAGAAGGAGCCACCGGTTGATGAGACGTGTCCCTCGTCGGATAACCAACCGGCGGCGGTGCCACGTACGGACCGGTCGACACCGGCGGCGGAGGGTACGCTCCTATACATTTCATACATAAATAATTTATAACCAGTTCGACAATTTATTATTATTTTTTAAAAGAAACAAAAAATTAAACCGACGTTTTATATTGAAGTACCTGCAGTTTGGTACTGATTGTACTGGCTCATCTTTGAAACGCTCTGTTTTGAAGGGGGAAGGAAGTTTTGTATGTATGCTCGTTTATATCCAACGACGATTGGCAAATCTTTACATACACCATATGGGTATATATATATACACTCACACAAAGATGTCGGTTAAGCAAAACCGCGTGGATATGAGAACATTGACAAAAAAAGTCGGTCGAATATATTCCCACAGTTCATTACCCTTTAATAAATGGAGATACATTTCATACCTAACTTTTACATATATATAGTATCGATGTACACGTGTCAGTTCGTGGTGCCTCACGGCAGTATATTTGACACGTGGCTACATACTAAAGAGACTTTCCAACAACATCCGACTTGGTTTCGTCACAAACGTGAGCTTCTTGCCAACCACTTTGATTATTGCATATAATCTAAATATATAATTAAGTCAAAGGGATTAGGAGGAAGAAACCAAGAAAATGAATGGATATAACAAAGAAAGAGACATGGACCGTTTTTTCAACAGAAGAAAAATCGACAAGAAATTTAAAAGCTGACCAAAGCGTCATATGCTTGGTTGGTTGTCCGAAAGAAGGGGAATATGGATTCTGTTGCCTTTTTTTTTTTGGCTTTCTTACGTAGCCGGAGAAGGTTTCTTCCTCATTGTCCAAAAGGCTGCATAGTACCTGTTCTGCTCACACACAACACCCAACCAAACCAATGAAGAAGCTCGTTGTTGGTTACTTTAAGATACATTTGAAAATTTAGCTTATAATATTACATTGATTTTTTTTTTATGACCGAGCATCCTGGACCGAAACCCAAACTAATTTTGGGACCGGGACCCAACCATGTGCTTTGAAATATACGCTGTTTCCCCACTCTGGGGTTCGAACTTGGGGGAGACAAATGCTTTGCACCCCCGTTTCACCAGCTGAACTACCCAGGTTGGGTAGGTTATAATATTACATTGATTATTGGTCCTAATGCAAGGGGTAATGTGATCTAGTATATTCTCTTCCCAACACCCCCACTAGATGGGATACGAACTCTGATGGTCCTTTATTGGTCCTAATGTGTGATAAGTTTGAAGAAGAATAATCAAATCTCAATTCTCAACCAAAATATCGGCAGACCATACCGAATCTAATGTTGGTTTGTGACACTGACCTGCATCATGGACCGATGATTCGTCGTGTACGTTGTTTTGATAGTCCTTTCCTTCTGCAAAACATTAGGACGAGCATCGATGATATATGATTCCCCCAACCATATAATATGTCATGGAAGAAAGATGTTGTTGCGAGTGGGAAATTACCTCAATCTCAAACCCAAAATGGAAAGCCACTCTCTTTACATCCTCTAAACTTAGCTCAATAGACATCTCCTACACATCAAACCAATAAATTTAAACATGCTGTGATGTTGCGATAAGAGACAGTCTGACATAAACTTATGATGATGACAGAAAAATGCTTACATCTTCATGCCCGTACGTATCCGCAAAATGATATAATAGCGGTCCTAAGTTTATCCAAACCTGTCAGAGAAATAGCATAGTAGAAGTCATTACGACTTATGGAAGATTATGAGGACATAAAGATTAAAACCAATGAGAAGAGAATAACAGAGAACTCAACTCCTCCATCCTTCAAAACCTTGGATATGATTTCTATATACTCAATAACATTATGAGCCGTGTCGATGAAAAAGCAAGTCACAACTGCATCCCACATCCCTGAATCCAACATTGCAGACATAACTTAGATTCAGTCACATGGTTATACATCTCAATGGACAATTCTTTGCAACACAACTTTAAATACAAAAATACAAAACGAAACTTGGTGATGAGACAGAAATTCAGTTGTTTTTCCTCAAGGATTTTGTGCTTGGTGTTCAGTGTTCTTTGTGAACGAACCCACTACCCGAATATGGAACCAAATAGTGGACAAATTTCAGGTTTAAAGACTGAAAATTCAGCACACATGAGAGATACATGGCAAGTAGTTACAGTTTCCTACCTTCTTGACTTGGGTCTTTGTATACTTCAACAAACTCACCACCACACATAGAGAAACCATCTGTTATCCCTGCACTGCTACCAGTACATTTTTACATGATATAACTTTCAGCAATTAAAAGGTAACTGGAATAATCAAAGCTAGTATCCCATACAAAATACAAAATATATCTTCATATCCTCCTAACAAAACAAATGAACCGATGCCCCCTTGTATTCAGTTCCTTGTGTTTTAGGAGACATAACAGATGGTCTCTATACAAAAAACTAACAAAATATTTCCACCAAACCCGTAATCAAGTTAGCCATTAGACGGTGCTTTTACGCTTTCCATAAATCCAGTTCGTACTGCAACTTCAAATTGTTTTCAATAAGGATTAAAGAGATACACACATACCCTGCAGGATGAATATCAGGTATAGAAATGGGGCGTAGTTGATCATTATCAGATAGTGAGTTGCAGTTGCTGTGGATCCAGGGGTGTATTGTCCATTCACCCGCCACTCGTGTACTGGTTACGAAATGAAGTACAACTACAAAAGTCAAAATATATCCAAACTAAATCCATTTACTCAAACTCTGTCACTGTTTTGAATGATATACTGTCCAGATTAGATTATCCAAATGCCTTACAAACATGTTAAAATTCAAAACCTCAAAAACAGCGGTTGTTTGATTAGAAAAACATTATAAACTAAGAGACGAAAAATGATTGGAGAGACTTTAAGTTGATTTATAAGAAAAGGGTAAAACAAGAAAATCAAAAGGAACCGTAAATGAACAGCAAAAAAGAAAAAGAAAGTCTTACTGATTAAGAATAAAACTTGAGCATATCATCATGTAGTAAGAAAACTCATTTCCTTGGCTAATGAAACCTGTTCCAGAGTACAATAGTTGTTATGTTCCTCATCATCATCATCATCCAATCATCAACAATACAACTTGTCAACGGCATTACCTAAACATGAAATTTCAAGGGCCAACCGTCCAAGCCCGGCACCTGGGACTAAACAGGCAGGAGGGGGGCTGAAAATCGTGCAATATGCTTTGTAAGCAGAGTAAAAATACACTAATTGCTAAAATTCTTAACCACCTGACAGCTGTCTTGTATTGGTTAATCATCAGAAAATGCTTAACCATGTAAGCAGAGTAAAATTTTGAGGGGCCAACTGTCAATGGTTAATCATCAGAAAATGAGTTAAATTTTGCCAATTTTGTCTACCACTATACACAAGCCCCACGAAGAAAGTTTGTGGCTCATATTGCAGGCAACTACAATTGGAGATTAGAATAGTGAAAAGAACACAAGAGTTAAACAATGGCAATGATATCATAGGAAAACATATGACGATATAAGTTTATGAGGCAATTTGTCAAGTGCATCAACTTTAAAATTAATGTCCTATAACTCAGAACACTCCTGAGAGAACTGTGACTCAAAGGACAGGAACGAAGAAAACAATGTACCTCTGCTTCCGACGATTAGGAAACAAGGAATCAAGCTCTTCAAGGATTGGCTTGTAGCATTGATCGCGTTCCTTCTGCCCCTGTAGGGACAATTAGAGTTCAATAGTGATATATAAATAAATGGATGTCTGAATACATGCAGAAAGGGAAAAAGAAAATGAACAGAAAATCTCTTACCTCTACTGCCCAGTCTCTAACTATATTCCTTATTATACAACGAACCTGCGAAAGAATACAAGAAAACCAAGCAAATTATAATCCAATAGACTCGTTCATGTAGCCTTACTATCTTTGTCTTTGCACTCTTAAGAGCAAAGAGATATAAAAACAGGGCAACACAGGATGAATAGAATGAATTGCAAGGAAAAGAAATACCTTATCTACATCAACAAGAGGAACATGTATCTGTAATGATGGATCCAACCAATCCCGAGATGGTGATGATACCTAAAAGAAAGAAGAGCAACAAAAGAGAAAGGGTACAATATGATGAGTTTATTGGCTACTCTATTAGCTTCCAATATTTATATGATCATGCCAATACGTGCAATATCCAAGAGTCCCATACAGAATTGATCAGACGCGCAAGAATCTGTATACGGTTAACGCGGCATGTTCTCAAAGAAACAGAGGTTAGAAAGAGCATGATTTAACATTACATTGCAGTCATCATAACTTATAGGGTGTCCATCACGATTACATGTCTCCTTGTTCATTCTTGTATCTCCAGAACGGTCCATGGGGGGACGATCATGAGGATTATCTCTTTGGAGCTCCTGCACTCAAGTTATCCTTTTTTTTCATCCACAGGTCTCTAAATGAGTATAAATATGACTAAACAAGAGAAGTGCTCAATCATTCATTCACATAATTTCACCTCATTAGATGGCACTCCAGTCTCTGACTTGTACACGTCTTTACTTCCTTCCGGATTTTCCTGATATTCACAATTATTTGTTGATGCAGGCTGACAAGTAGAGTCATGTCTTTCATCCAAAATGTGATTATCATTTGGAGCAGAGTCAGGGTTTGAATCTTCACAAATGTCAAGATCCTGACTCAAATCTAGAGGGGCCTCAAATGCCTGCCAAGTGGATATAACTTGCTTGTAATGTCAAGCATATCAGAAAAGGCCAAGGCTGGTGTGCATTGCCAATCATAAATCAATAATAAAAAACATGAATAGACCCAAGAAAAAATAAAAGAAGAAAATGTCAGGGACTGACCTGAAGCATGTTAAATATGAAATACGAATTCATCGATATACACCTGCAACAATAAGGTCACCCCAATTTACAAAGGCAAGATGTTTCATATATAACTCATGAGAATATACATATCTAGGAGTTTAAGGAGAGACGACAATCAGGGTCGGACTCAATTCAAACAGACAACTCCAGTCTCGTGTCTTCTCGGGGCGTATCGTCTTTGAGACTTTTTTTAAAAAAAATACAGAAGATTAGTAAGACATTTTAGCATTGTTCAGGATTCTTTCATAATCCGGCATAGAAAAGAGAAAATCACTTGTCCAGAGTCCAGACTCATCTCTGATCCTTGAGGTGACAACAAACATTGACCTAGAAAATAAATCCATATCTGAATCACCCCAGCTTATACATTTATTATTTATGGGATATAGCAATTACCTTCTTAAATTCTGGAATTTAATAGGGTAATGGGATAGCAATGCCTGTGAAAGAGAACGAAAGGTATGATCCTTTAGGAGACAGTGTAATCACAACTGTGAACATACAGATAAGATCATAAAACAACGAGTAACATGGAACACAAATCCATACAAATTTCATGGTCATATACACGGTTCATTCAAAACATATAACACAGCTTATAAAACATACTACACCAATGAAGAGAATTCAGAAAATACACACTAACACAAAGAGTGGCACACCACAGAAAGTAATAGATCATCAACCAGCATGAAAGATAAAATTTTTCTTCAAACACTACGTCGATTGGGTGGAGACACCTAAAAATATGCTTTTCTAATGCTCTAATGACATTTGCCAATAGAAGGATGCAGGACGGGAAAGGAAAATCACCTTGTGCGCAGGAGGCAGCTTCCTAAACGATCTTTCCCATCGTTTGACATCCTCCTCCGAAGCCTCGGGATAACTGTAAAAAAGTTCCATGGTTGAGGACCTGAGAGTGGTACAGTAGATAATGCAGTGCATCTTTCTACGCAGATATATTTAGGAAAATGAATTTGATCATAAGCCACCCACAGGGGCACACATTTCATGTTTTCAACCGGCCATTCGACCCACTGACAGAGCAGAAACTTATTCGTGTGAATGAGTATTCAGGCGCAAACAATGTCAATATTAAAATCACATCCCTATACTATGAGATTTGATGCAATTCAAGAAGCCGAAAGAAGCATCATTTCCAATCAGATACCAACTCATCTAAATGCATATCCAGTAAAACAAAACTTCAGCGTATGCGTGAAACTTCGACTCGAACTCAGTTTCCGACAATATATGGATTTAAATCAGCTGTTAAATCCCAAAACAAGATCAATGTCACTTAACCCAAAAGAGGTACGAACTGAGAATCTTCACCGGGCTCGTATTAAGCTGCAGAGCCACTGCATGAAAGTAAATACAGTCTCCGAATTCAGGGAAGACAAATTATTACCCAAACCCAACCCTCGACCCGGCCAATTCGGCATTTTGAACCGAAACTCTACTCGAACAAGAAATTTTCCTTAAATCCACCAAAACAATTCCACAAATCATCGAAGAGAACAATGAAATCAAAAGAAATGAACCGAGGGAAGGGATCAAAACAAACAACAGGATCAAGATGGGTACTTGAGATAAGCACTGATGATACGACGAAGAGATTTGGCTTCGAGAGCTTCTTCGAGCTTCCTATGAAGACGTCGTTTCTCTTCCTCTTCTTCGACTTCCCTCGACATCTTACTCTTCTTCTTCGCCGTCACCGTCGCCGACGTGTCTCTCCGACTCGGAAGAGGAATAGGGTGGCTCTGCTGCTCCGACGGTTCGACTCGACGTGGAGGGTTATACTACCAAAACGCATCGTTTTGAAATCGGGCCATATGAATTTATTTGGGCTTAATGCCCAAATAATGTTTTAAATTTTTAGCAACGATATTTTTTTTTTTAAAAAAAAAGAAAAACAAATTATATATTAACCCCTAAGAATCTCAAAAGTTACAAAAGATGGTAATTCTAATGTTATGTGTTTTTTGAACATAGGGATGGGGGTCTTCTCATTGTGATTCCATTGTTGGAGCTTTTTAAAATTTTATTTTTATGCAAATTAAAACGTGAATTTTATTTAACGAATTGATACGAGAATTCAATTTGTTCTCCAAGGGTGGATGTAGCAAACTAGAGATTCTTTTGAAAAATAAAATCACATAATTATTTTTCTATTATGTGGTGTGTATATATGGTAATAACAATTTCACAAAAACAAAAAGCAAAATTCTCCATCTATAAAATCATTTTTAGGAATTTCTTTAAAAAGGAACAAACGAAAGGGACAGATGAGGGAACACAGAGAAGTCATCAATGTGGTAACCGACAGACTCAAAATTCAGCTTCTGTCTTTTTTAATTATTTATTCCCATGCCAAATACACAAATATCATAAAAAAAAAATACAAATAAAAAGACAACACAAAATATGCACAAAAAATATCGAATACATTTAAATTATAAAATGACATTTTCCTACACGCCACGTCATATTTTTAAAATATTATAAAAAATTTCAAAAATATGAAAAAAATCAATTTTTTTTTAAATTTAAAATAAAATAAATAAACAACAAAAAAAAATATACATATATATTCATATCTATATACAAATAAAAATATAAATATATATACAAAATAAAAAACATATACATATATATACAAACATCTATACAAATATATATATACATATACATACAAACAAATATATTTATATATACATATACATATATAAACACATATATATGTATATATACATATGCATATACATACATACATACAAAATAAAAAAAATTCACACATATATATATACATATTCATATCCACATACAAATACAAATATAAACATAAATACTTCTATGTATATATATTTCTATATATATCAAATAAAAATATACACATATATACATGCATTTATACAAATATATATGCATATACATACATACAAGTATATGTATATATATACACATACATATATAAATACATATACATGTATATATATGTATTCATATCTATGTACAAATACAAATATAAACATATATACTCATATATATATATACTTGTATATTTTTTATTTTGTATGTATGTATATATTTATATATATGCATGTGTATATGTGTATATATAATAAATATGTATTCATATACATGTATATGTATTTATATATATATGTATATATATATGTGTTTATATATGTATATGTATATATAAATATATTTGTTTGTATGTATATGTATATATATATTTATATAGATGTTTGTATATATATGTGTATGTTTTTTATTTTGTATATATATAGTTATATATTTTTATATAGGAGTATATATATTTATATTTTTATTTGTATATAGATATGAATATATATGAATATATATATATATATATACATATTGCTGTTTATTTATTTTATTTTAAATTTAAAAAAAATCGATTTTTTCATATTTTTTCTGAATTTTTTTAAAAATATGACGTGACATGCTGATGTGGCAAAAAATCTATGTGGCGTGCCACGTCAGCCGTCACGTGGCGTGCCACGTCAGCGGTTAACGGACACTTAACACCGTTTTCGGATTGTGTAGGAAATTGCAGTTAAATTGGGTAGTTCGTGTATCAATTTGGCACATTTGATAATTTGGTGTAGTTTTTTGTCAAATTAAATATTCGTGTAGGAAAAGGTCATATTTTACAAAGTTGGTGTAGGAAAATGTCATTTTCCCTAAAAAAAAATACAAATAAAAAAACAACACAAAATATGCACAAAAAATATCGAATACATTTAAATTATAAAATTCAAAATAAAACAATAAATGTAAGAAACTTCCAAACAGAAAATGCGTATCCCATGGAACTTTAATTATTATGAAGCAGCGGGGGAGTATTTTTTAGATTTTAGAAGAAAAAAAAATATTTAAGGACAAACATTGATGCCTCTTGAAAAACTAATTAAAGGAGCAGCGAATAAATATTAATTCGAAATCCGACGCTCATTTTAAATATAAAAAGGCTCACCGTCACGACCACGCTGTCTTTATGCTCACCCCGAGGATGTGATGGTAATACGATTAATGAGACGACGCAGTTTTGTTTTCTCTTCTCCCAAACCTATGGTTGTTTTAGACGTTCTGTCGAGACCCTCTATCTCATTCAGAAACTCTGAAACTTGCAAAAACACTTTTTCCCTCATGGATGCATGAATATATGTTATGCATATGTGCATATATGTACATAACATTTATTTTCGGATTCACAGTTTATTCATAATCCTACTGTTTAGATGCGTAAATTTTACATTCTTATATAAAGTCAATTTTTTTCAATTATTTTTTCAGATTCGATTTTTTCGATTTTAGAAAAATCATAACCATTCGTTTTACATCTAATTCAGTTCGATTATACTTATACATTATTCTATTCAAATCGATTCGGATATTCGGTTATTAACCAAATAAACCACCCTTACACATTAATTCACTCGTTTAGGTTAATAGTGTATCATATCAGTTATTGACTTTATTATACCCAAAAAAAGAAGTCATTCAAAACAGCGTATCTGAATTTATGGTACAAATTTATATGAATATCAACTCGCGGAGAAATAATAATTTAAAAATAATGAAACGATCAAAATGATTATTGGACAAACTTTTAGGAAATGTGTCAAATAGTAGAGAACGAGAATAGTAACAACACTTAAAACCCTATGTACTCTTGTTGGTCTTAGAAACGTTGAGATAATGACACGTGGCGTCTTCTGATTTGCGGACAGACGATGGAAACAAGTCCACCGAGCGGGGGCCGCATCTTTGACCTGTAAGTCATCTCATCGTACGGTCTACGATAAAACTTGACGAACGGAACGAACGACTCTCGTGGCTTCTCGGCCTTGCTTACGCGGCAGTCCCGCCTGAAGAAAACCGCCGGAGACTGGAAGAACGACGGGCGCGGCGTCCGCGGGTAACGAAGGGTTCCGATAAAGTGACGATCAGTCGTCCTCGCCGGCATCGGCGTGGAGGCCGTGAAGAAGCCCCTCCGCCCGCCACGTGGCTCGCATGTAGCCGCCGGTGACGCAAAGGAGAACGAACGCGCGTTGAGCGGCGAAATGTATGCGCTGTCGGGCCCCAGCTTGGATGCTGACGTGTCGGTCAGAGTGAGGCGCCACGGCTTGAGTGCGTCGAGGCCGCGGTGGGATACGGTGAAGGCGAACCTAGAGGAAGAGCATGGGCCGATCTTGTCCATTGATTTTATCGATGACGTGTCAAATCGGAGGGACGAGACTCGTGATGGGCACGAGGAGAAGTGGTCGCAGTCGTAGTGAAACGAGTCTTGATAATCTAACGATGACACGACCATCGTGACCGTCGATAGTTCCACAAAGGATCGAACACCCTACACGTCAACACACGCGATCAGTCCTAAATATAATTACCACAATTAATTAAATGAATAATTAAAGAGGAAAAGTTAAAAACATTTCGCTTGCATGCAAGTTATTTAAATTTTGACCTAACACAAATTCAAAATGACCCCTTTTTCCAAATTATAATTCTTAACCGAACCCGACCCATCTATGATTTTTTTTTAAATTATTTTTGCAATCTCTAAACATTTGTAAAAGAGCACCGAATGAACCTCCTACGTTGATAACAATGCAACAAAAATCGTTACAAATTAATACACCGTAACAATTGAACCGTTATATATATATATATATAAATAAATAACGTACCTTCCAAAGATAAGAAAAAAGTGAAGGGGGGTCAATGACAAAAGCTCTGTGGAGGCGGCATGGATAGTTCTCTGCTACTGTTTTCAGCGTGGAGACGAGCATGTTCATGAAGGATGATGCCGATCTGAAGAAGCCTGTATTCATATTTTTAAAAAAAATTCAAATGACAAATTGGACTAATTGATTAAATAAAAAAAAGTTATAGATAATAACAGTTCTAGCTGCTAAAGGAGATGAACACTGACAATCTCAGGAAAAAAAAAGATAAATTTCACCCGGCACCCCTTTTAGTGCAACAAATAAAAAATAGCCGCATTGATAACGATAAAGATTGATGTGTTTAATTATCTTTGTCAATAACGTTAGTCTCCATTATTTTGATTTATAATTTTCGAATTTGTGACAATTCTGTTCATTAACTGCAGCAGTAAAAAAATCTATAATTTTTTTTTTCTGTACCAAAAAAGTTTAGCAATTTATTTGTAAAAAAATGTTATATAATAGTAAAACAAACACATACGTTTAAAAAATTAGTAGAAGTAAATATTACCGGTATATTGTTATTATTACATAGATAGTATATCCATAATTATAAAACTTATAACATATATATTGGAAAATTTATTTGAAATGGCCAAAAGAGAAAGGAAAACGTTGGAGGGCGGATCACAAGATTAACATTTAAAAGAAAGCAAAATGCGGGTACGATCAAAGTCGCAGCAAGTACTGGTGAGATTTGACCTTGTTAAAAGAAGGACAAAAGAAAAAGTCAAATTTTAAATGGACGTTTCAATTTCCGATAATACCCTCAATAATTGGAGGCAATGACGTGGACATCTCAAGGACACTCCGGACATTTACTTTGGTCGTTTGTCTCACACCCACCCCATCTTTGCCGGCGTTCCGACATGTTCAAAATTAAAGCCCGGTCCCCGTTTCTTTTATTCTTTTTTTCCCTTGTTAAAAATAATTTATATATATATATTTTTTGTATAAATAATTTTTATATTCGTTAGCCGGACTATTTACATATTTATATATATATATATATAATTTATATATGATGAGAATATAAGATGATAAATGTTGTAGAGAACTCACTTGCGTCGAATAGGATAACGAATTGTTCGGCTTTCTTGGACATGGTTGAGATCGCCACCTCCAATGTAAACACCACTAGACGAGTCAGCCTGGTTAATAAAAATCAAATATCAATTAGTAGTTGTTATATTATAATATTGATAAAATATGTTGATATATCGTATATTCTTCAATATTTCTGAAGTATTACACAACATTTAATATATTATACTTAACCAAAAAAAAACATTTAATATATTATTATTTACTTTTTTTTATTTTGTTTGGATTTTAGTTTTCATGGTATGCATGGTTATGTATATACTTACAGTTTCTGCGAGTGCAGCTTCTGATAGTCTTGTTTGACGCGGAAAATCTAACAAAAAAATTGCGCGAGTGGGTTTAATCAGTACAACCTTTTTTTTTTAAATCCGGAAAATAGATTTGATTTTGTATAAACTAAATAAAACATAGATAATAAAATATGCGTTAAATTAAATACCAAAACGGGTCTGAACTCGTCGTCGTAGCCAGCTACGTAGGCCAAACCCTCGGTGAGCTCCGCCATGAACTCGTCAGCGATCAGACCATCTGATTTTCAAAAATATTGTTTTTTTGTAGAAATTAATCACAAATTTATAAAATCTTCGGGGAAAATAATGAACAAATATATTTGAAAATTAGATTTAAAAAAAAAAGAAAAAGAAAAAGGAGGAAAACAGAATCTCGAAAATTTAAAAGGAAGGTAAGATAAGTGGGGGGTAGGATCATGAGTGGGTATCTTCACTTTAACGCTCATTAATGTTCAAACTTCAAACATGGGACATGCCAAAATCGATAAAGCAACAAAAATATTTTCTTTTTAATATTAAAATATTTTACGTTACAATATACACCTACAACGATACACGCATTATATATTTATACATATCGTTTTAACGTGAACAATATCTGAAATCCTGCACCCTCTCTAGAATAAAACAAAGATATGATTTTTCAGCGAAAAACGTTATATATACACATATAACTATCAAGCGATATTTGCCTATAACATTTCCAAAATAAACTGCGTTCAAAATTTTCGTCCGAAATATATATCTTCAAAACCGATGGATGGCGAAATTATTATGTTTTTAATAAATAAATTTTGAGAGGGAGTACCAATTATGGTAACGCCTATACAAGCATGCACATACATGAATATATTTAATCTATATAAACATATATATATATATATATATATATATGTGTAGAGGATTGAGAGAGAGAGTACCAACGCCAAGAGAGGACCTCCATGAAAGGCAAGCTCTCAACATTGTAGCTGCTTTCTTCGCATTGTCTCCTTTGGCCCTCAAGAACCTCTCCACGCATTCTCTGTTGCAGAACTTCTCCTGCATCAAAACCCACCATCCAAAGTTCCCATTTTTAAGTTTTTTTTTTCCTTTGCTTCGTATATATATATATGATCCATGTGGGTTTTAATCAGTACCTGTTTAAGAGTGAGGGGAGATTGTTTATGGAGGAGATGAAGAACGGTTTCAATTTTGTCGTTCACTGTTGTGTGATCCCTCTCTTCTTTCTTCCCCATTTCGAGAGCGGTCGGAGCTCAACCGTGTATGGTGAACAACGTGATAGAGAGAGAGAGAGGGAGGAGGAGGAGAGAGAGAGGGTTTGAAAAATGCAAGCGAGTACATGTATTTTAAAGGATGAGATAACGGCGATCAGTAACGCCGTTAAGCATAGGCAACTAGTGGTAGTACCATTAAAATTTTTGGTGGGCTTTGTCCCCTTCACTCCCATGCCTTCAATCTGGTCAATGATTATTCGTTCTTAAAAGATTATATAGGCACCGTTAGTCTTCACATTTAATAACACATAAACAAGTATTATACAAATATTAATACACTATGTTCAACGCAAAATCTCTCAATAAAAATATATGGATAATATCCGTATAAACAATGTGATACATTTTTTAAATATGATATCTATTGCCTCTACAAATATAATATCGAAATCTTTTTTTCGGTTTATCCAAATTCTCTAATATCATCATTCTCTCATTTTCATATAAAATTCCATCCATTTTTATGATTTTCCCCTTTAAAAGCTAAGGTGAAATTATAGATTTTGTAATAGAAAACGGCAAATAACATTGTATGATTGCATCCAAGACTGAAATAGCCATGAAAAAAAAACAGTAGAAGATTTTTAATATACGAAATAAATAATTGGAATGGGAGTGATGTTTGCTTGTTGGTGATGATGCAGAGGATCATTTATGGGAGTCAAGGCGAGTCAGTGGGAAAAGGCTGCGATTGACAGCGTACAATTTGGACATCAATTAATATCACTCTAGTCTCCGTTTGTTCTTTCTTTCTTTTTCAATATTTTTATATTTATTTTATCTTTAATTTTAACCTCGTTATTAAGAAAAAAAATGATATTTTCCTATCCAAATTTACTACAATAGGATATTTTCATATCTATTTTTAATTTGACAAACACTACGTTTGAATTCAAATTTTTTTAAATATCTACACGAACGGTTATAATTAACATTAATTATATACATGATCATCATTTTCGTTAAAAAATTTCGGATTCTGTTAACTAATATGCTGACGTGTATGGTAGTTACAATAATTAACTAACTAATGCTTAATTAATATAATCCGCATTTTTTTAAACGAAAATGATGATTGTGTATGTAATTACTGTTAATTTTAACAATCCGTGTAGACATCTATGAAATTTGGAATTCAAGTGTAATTTTTTTATCAAATTAAAAAATACGTATATACAAATATTATATCGTACTAAATTCGTGTAAGAAAATGTTATTTTCCCAATTATTAACCGTCAGTCCATTCCTCAAAACAAGAACATACAAACATTTCATAACAAAATCTGCTGATTATCAAGTTAACAACTGAAAACATGAAAAAAATACTTTGATTAAAATTATATAGCATATTAAGAAACACTAACTATATATCTTGAATTTAATATCGACAACAATCAATTTTTACACTATCAATGTCGTAAATAATCGGGTTGTTTTTTCATTATTCGGTATTCTGAACTATTCTCAAACGACAAATTCTCAAGCACATGCATGCATGCGTGAACGAACAAGAACATCGAACACAAGATCCGGGAATCCGGTCCATAATTTACAACGATCCTAGAATAGTCACGTCAATCCTAACAATTTCCAGTCACTCTATACATTCATATATATATATATATATATATATATATATATATATATATATATATATGAAGGTACATGGAAAAAAGATGGGGATGGGGAAAAGGAGAAGAACCCGTGAACAAATAGTTCAAATATTATCGGATAAAAAATAGTCAGCGTATCATAATTTAATTATTATAAAACCCCATATCGTAAAAAGAATTTGCCATTAATAGTGGGTGACAAAAGGCAACTCAATGGCTTCCACGTTTCATTCATTGCATAATTTAATTATTATAAAACCCCATATCGTAAATAAGTTGGCTTATTATATATGATTATCCACATGCATGCAAACACACTTTCTAAAATTAATCTTGTGCTTAATACTAAATAGAATATATAAGTATAAATATAAATATATATAATATTGTAAAATGGTCCGACATAAATACCTGAGCTCTGAAGTGAAAATGACCAAAGAAGATAATGGAGGAAGAGTTGGGTTGGGACATAGAATAATTATTACTGTAATTATTGAGTTTTAAGGAGTTTTGGAAATGCTATAGTTTCGTTGGTCTGACATATGCCATTGTGAGACAAACGACCCACCACGTGACCCATTTCTCTTCTCACCATCACCTTCATCATTTTTCTTCTCTTTAATTTCAATTTTGAAAATCTCCCAACCAAAATAATAAAAACGTTAATGTGCGTCGTGGCATTTTATAATCATAGTTTTTCATTATTATGATCCCTTTAATTTTTTTAGTATGTGTGTGTATATCAGTATATATATTATTACGAATGCAAAGAAATCTTATATAGTAACTTAATTTGGAAAACATTTCGGATAATCTAGTACACAATCTAAGTTCCATGAATTTTATCTATATATTCATGGATTTAATACACGCAAAATTTCACCTGCTTTTTATTTATTTTTGGGCTTTCTTTTCTTATTCAGCCCATTTAACGTGGTTTTTATTTTATCCATGGCGTTTTTTTTTTCTTATTAGGCCCATTTATGGTGGTTTTTAATTGCATATGGGCTTTCCTTTCTTTTCAGTCCATACGGTTCCCTCTTCCCCAATCAGAATCGAAAACTGTAGGGGAAGATTTCGATCGGAAATTTATATCGCCGGTCTCCTAAGAAATGGGCATTCGTCGAAGAAGGCGATTTCGCGCCGTACTCTTTATCCGCTTCCGTGTTCTGTTTTTTTTTTCCCGAGAATATCGGATTATCTTGCTTCCCTTTACCCGTGATACTGTGATTTAGTGGGTTTAGGGCTCTATCGAGTGGAGGGTTTTCGATTTTGGAGCATCATGTATTGAATTCGCTGTGGATTTTGATGCGGAGATGGAATCCATTTCGATTTTGGCAGTGATCGTTTGTGGAACGGGGCTGTGGAATTGCAAAGGGTAGGAGGAGCTCGTCAGGTTGGTGATCAGATACAGACAATTGCGGTGTAAGACGATTGGAGGAATGGGGAATTGGAGAGCAAATCATACAGTAGAATGAATCTGAAGCTGAATCCGGTGGGGAATACCCGTTCGAGTTGATTGTGGTTCAATCTCCATGTCTTTCTGAGGCTCTGATGATGGACGAAGTCGCATCTAAGGATCATCACCCCCACATTCAGAAGCGATCGCTTTAGGTCACACCTTCTTCTTATGTTTCCATGTCTTCGGCCAAAACCGGAACTGCGTGAGACGGAAAATGTCGCAGCTTTCGAATGATCTTAGCAAACGGTAGACGGAGGACGACAGATGGCTTGCGATTCCTTTGAAATGACGAATTTACCCTCTAATGTGTTTTTCAAATGGGCCATTATCAAAAATACCCTTAATGAATTAGTGTGTTCACCATAAATTTAATGTTATAATTGATAAAATCAAAATGTGACCATATTATATTTCGGTTGCATTGGTCACAAGAGTAGTTCTTGAAGTAGAAATAGCAAAGTAAGGGTATTTTTGATATAAAACATTTTCAAATAAAATATTATAAAAAAATGAAAATATAGAGAAACGCTAGAAGGAGGGGTTGAACCTCCGACCTTGTGGTTAACAGCCACACGCTCTAACCAACTGAGCTATTCCAGCTTGTTGTGCTTCAATATTAATTAATAATGTATTAAATTATAGAAATAATTAGCATATAATTTGATTTGATTAATTAGAGACTTGTAACTTAAAATATTATAAATTATAATATTGTATAAGATATGGTGGAATGTTGCCCCATATATAGACTATGATGGTTGTCCTTTTTTTTTGTTTCTGCCTCACATTGTGCTATGTGTAAAATCTTATTAAAAGGATACAAAAAGACCTTTGTATTATTATTTTTTTACTATGAGTATCGTAATTAATCTATCCACAGTCAATTTTCTTATTCTTGTATTTGGACTAAATATGCAAATTAACACGATGATGACATGGACCCTTTAAATCATGTATAGTTATTTGAAATTAATGTTTTTTTATTAATTAATTGTGTGTGTTTGTGTATATATATATATAACGTTTCACATTATTGTATATACATACACATATACACGGTCGGTTGGGTTGGGTTAGGTGTAGCATATGCAAGAGTCTAGAGGCCAAACTCGCGATTTGATAGTGACTTGGGAAAAACTACCTGCCGTTTTCAATAATTCTAAAGGAAAACTACGTCGTTTCTTTCGCACCAACGATATGTAAGCCTGTAAGGTAAGGAGTTCAACAACTTATAGAGATACCACGCGGAAATCTCCTGTAAAATATCTCCGGTCAAAACGTCACCACCGTGCCGCCGGAGAGAAATGATGTTTCCGGTATGAATCGCTGGAAACCGGTGTATCAGTTGTATCAACGAGAGAGAATTATGTTGTAGAGAGAGAAGAAAATGGTGAATTATGAACTCTGTATTGATCGATGTACAACTCTAAGTATAAATACTCTGTTCGAATACAAACCTTCTACTTCTAACGCAGGTTTTGATCACATACTCTAATAATGTGTTCTCATGAACAGACGATGGTATTCTTCGTGAGAAGGAAACATCTTCATATAACTAACGGGGCAAGGGCCCAGGTTTATTACTTAAATAGCCCAGATGTGTCACAAGAATTTCTTCTGTACACAACCAAAAAATGCCTGAAAAAACGTTGCAGTTTGTACCCTACTTTTTATGACAAAAGACCTAAATATCCATTTAATGAAACGTTTCGTTTTGATTGAAAAAGAAATGAAACGTTTTTTCGCTTGAAAATCTGATATTAAAAAATTGTGAATATTAAATATTGAGACAAATTAAATGTGCTTCTCTCTCATCTCTCTCCCTGTTTTATCCCGATCGTGCGCATTTCCGTCCGCCATTGAAGCTCTGTCGAAGCTTTAAATCAAGCTTGTGATCAGTTTTTTTTTGTGCTTTCGAAACTAAATCTCCTATACAGGTATAATGAGAGTAAAATCCAAGCATTTTAGTTTATTATTGTGCCTTAAATTCTGTTCTAGGGTTTCATTTAAATGTCTGAAATTTTTGGGTTGTTGATGAGAATGACAAATTTCGGTTCATTTGACAGGATTATGGATGGTTTTGAAGATTGTTATACATGTATTTGTATTGATTAGGGAGCTCATCGATGTCTCATATGCTCTGTGTTTTGGCGACCGATCCAAATTGTCACTTGTAAGCTGTCTGCTCAAACCTTGCTGTATTGATCGTACATGTTCCAGTCCAATAATTCACATAATTGTTTTGGACATATATATTGTCATCTCGATTATTCCATGTTATTATAATTCAAATATCAGATATGTCTGTGTGTATATATATAATATTTTTAAAAAATTTCATTCAAACTTAATATCATTGTCAGCATTTCCAATCACATGATTATCATTTTCCCTAAATATCAAACGTATTATGTGATTAATCTGATATTAAGACAATCGATAGATATTAAAATCCAAAGAAGTCGATCTACATCCCACCGGTCACATTCATAGATTTGGCATTATATTGAAACAAAAACATTAAAAAAAACTGATGTAGAGATATACATATATATAACTGATATTTATTGAAAATATATATGTTTCGATAACAAGATATAAAAATGGGTTTGTATTTATATTATTATGTAATTTGAAGTTCGGGAGAAAATTGAAATAGGAAATAGTACAATGATAAATTCTGATACGACAAAATGAATGGAACAAAAAGACAATAAAAACATAATCATACAATATTTTTTTGGGGGTAAATCATAATCATCATACAAAATTGTACCGATAAAAATTCAGATAAAGTACGATCTAATCTCAATTTGTAAAAAAAATGTATATCAATATATAAAAACTATATAGAAAGATCCTACCAAAAAAAAAACTATATAGAAAGAGATATCGGTAAGGGAGGAAGCGACGCAACATGCATGCATGCAATCGAGACAAAGTTCCACGCCTCCCTCGATTTTCTCGTTATCATTTCTTAATAATTACCTTGAAGTTTTTTTTTTGTCGTGAGGTACTGCATTAAAAAAAAAAATCTTACCAAAAAGGCAAAACCCCGAATCTGAAAATGAAAAACACAACAACATTCAGAAAAAGAAGTCAGCAATTCTTCTCGTGGCGCCTTGAAGACTTTAAAACGGTATATAATCAGGCGGTAAACAGGAAAAAATAACATTTCACTCGAATTCCGTGTCAGCATCTCCGGCGAGATTCCGACAAAAGCGAGACGAGAATGTCGGCGAAAGCCCTGATGATAAGCTCATGCGTGTCACTGGGATTCAGAGAGAGATAACTCAGTAGCAACTCGGGCAAGAACTCGTTATCCTCCACCGCCTCGTCGACATCCCTCCCGTCCATGGCGTCGATCATCTCCTGCATCGATCTCCGGAAATCGCTGTACGGATCCGGCGAGTGCACCTGTTGCATCACCGCGGATCCTCCTGTTAGTAGCCGGGACACCGATGATGCCGCCGTTGTCGTAGGCAAGGCAGTGGCAGTCTTGTAATTCTTCCTCTTCGCCGTCGTAGTGGCATTATCGTAGTTATGAGAGAGGTTTCTCGGAGAGTCGGTGATTGCGTTGGAAGTGCCGGGAGAGGAGAAAAAGAAGCGGCGGGAGGCGAAGACGGCGGTGAAGTCAGGAGGGGGAGAGTCAGGGGCAATGTCGGATTCGTACGAGGAGGAGGAGGAGAACGAGGAAGTTGCGACGGCGGCGGTGGAGAGGGAGGTGGAAGTGGTTGAGTAAGGGATGCAGTCGCCGGCGGAGGAGTGGTGGTGGTGGTGGTAGAGGATGTTGAAGTTGTGGAGGACGAGAGAGGTAAGGTTTGGGTCGTCCGAATCTTCGTCGCCGGCGGCGGCGGCGGAGGATGAGGGGAGAGATGGAGGAGACGAGCACTTGCTGAGGTTTGTCGGGAAGCAAAGGTGGAAGCTTTTCCACAGGGTTCTTGGCATTTCGAGAGAGAGAGAGAGAGAGAGAGAGAGAGAGAGAGAGAGAGAGAGAGAGAGGCTCTTTGAGCAGGTGGATTAGGTGGGTATGATTTGTAATGCATATATATATATACGTGTGTATATTTAAATATAATTGTATGGGCTTAGGTAAAGGCTGCAGGCAAATAGTTAGGGTTTCTCTTTGGATGAATGTGAAATAATCTACATAAAAAGAAAGTATAAAATAAAATAATTATTTGAAAAAAAAAACATGAACAATGATTGTACTTTGCTGGGCTCACGAGGAGGCAGCACGTCCTCTCCTCCCTACCACACCCGCCGGCTCCACTCGTGACGCAAAGACGACATCCTTCGCTCCCACGTTCCAATCAAACCCACTTTTGAAAATTCGGGTATCCGAATTATTTGGATAGTAAACGTATATCAAATGTCGGGTTCAGATAAAATTCTCTAAAAATCATGGGATGAATCTCAAATCAGTATATGTTTTGATTTGTTTATAATTTGATATGTAAAATTTAGTGGTAAGTTTATTTTGGAAAAAAAAAAAGAAGTTTCAAAGTTGAAACCATTTGGAAAGAAGAGGAACAAAATAGAGAAATATGGGAAGGAGTGGGAGTTTGTGAAGGGCGTTTTGCCACAGCCATGTTGGTGAATGTACAGATAAAAAATCTGAAATTATATTTGGCAAAGTGTCAGAGAGAGTGGGCCACCACAAAGGATGCCCCAAAGAACCTAAAGAACCAAAAAAAAAAAAAAAAAAAAACGGTGTCATTTTCTTGGGACAGTTCCGTTGTTTGCTTCATATCATCTTGTGTTCTTTCTCTCTGGCACTTCCTACAAAATCTCTTTAACCGCGAGTGGATGGTGCTTTCCTTTGGGTCTCTCTCTCTCTCTCTCTCTCTCTCTCTCTCTCCCGTTCTTGCTGTTGTGGGGTACGTTGAAACAGTTCTTGGCAAGAAGCCATTGGAGACATCATCATGATCACAGAGTGTAATTTGTTTGAGGGTCTTCTCCATCAAGACCCACATTCCAATTTTTTCGTCTTCTTCACCTTAATTTGGACGCAACATAGGGGGAAATTTGAAAATACTTTAGCCCACCTCTCTGATTACAGTCAAGTCGACAGAATTTGGGTGAGTTTCACAAGAAATTTCATGAGCCCAATAGTACCAACCAAAAGACATTGTTTACCGCTTCATCTTTTACGGCAATTCAAGAATCAAGTTTGAAGCTTGCATTGTTCTTTGTCATGTCCACTACGCAGGACTGTGTCCCGAGGCTTCTCGATTCTTCAGTCTCTGTTTCCGATGAGCTCTTCTCTGCTTCCTCGTTTGCGCTTTGCTTGATCCGCTCTGGTCAGCCTGTGAATGGTCACTCTCTGTTGTTTCTAGACCACCAAATAGACAGAGAAATGGATCTTCTGCAATCTCATTATCCGAGTTCCCCTGCTAACGAAAACATAAAAACCCGGAATCACTCTTCCACAATGGAGATGGGTCTGTAATCATAAACGGTATTTAACCGAGCTTGATGGCATTTTACCAGAATTGTCCACACCAAATACCAAGCTTTTTCTTACAGTCCTTACAATTTTACAACCAAAGTTAAGATGGTACTCACTGAGCTATTCTGGGGCTTCGGTTTAGTCACTGAAACATCTGAGCCAGGGGGACTGCTTCTACTGTGGTTACTAGGTTTGGCTTCATTCGTCTCACGAGAAGGCAAGACAGAGTCATAGGAAGTATTCCGTCTACGCCATCTCATCTGAGGCTTGTCCAGTTCATCGATGTAAACTGATTCCGGGTAGAAATACTTAGACATGAGGTTCCAACTCCAAGCCTCACCATGATTGTACCTGACTAAGCTGTATTTTGAAAGAATGATCGGTGAACCATAATTAGAAAAACCGAGGGTAACATACACACATACATCACGAATGAAAATTCAGATCCACCGAAAAGTTAGATCAACGAGAAGGGGAAAGGGGTATGAGCAACGAGGTAGGATAAGGCATGAACCTAAAGAAAGAGACTAACTTTACCGAGTCTCCAAACAAGTGCGGAGAAACTTACAGGTTCACTAGTTCTTTCTGCATCCGAGTTGCATCTTGTCCAAGGATATGATCAAGGAAAGAAACCGCTGTTTTAGCACTCGCCCAGTCCACAGCAGG